CGTATCTTGGATACTCATAAGATTGCATCTAATAAGTTAACAGAAAGATAGTCTATTTCGTCCTAAAAGTAACACAATGCGAAAGATTGAACAGAACAGTGTAAGTTGCTTGAGAAGAACATTAGACAGTGACTGTGTGAATGACAGTGAAATAGTACAGACCTTGTTGTTTTTTGCAAGCTTCACGAATATCACACGATCGAACCAAAGCTCGAATTAAGTTGAAATTTGCAAGTGACTGCAGCTAAGATGAAATTCGTAGATACAAGTTCAGAATTGCGAAAACAAGTTCGAATAAAAATTAATTAATGCATTCGAACAAATTCAAAGCACTTCCAATAGAATTCTTACAAATGGAATATCTTACGAACATTATTGTAGCAATGTATCCAAGTATAAATTCCCATTGTAAGCTTATAGTCTTCGAAACCTAAATTCAAATGTTTGGAAATTACAGTAAAAGAAGGGCAAAGAAAAATCTGTGATTTGACAAACTTCGTATTCATTATAAAAAGAGGAATATTTATTGAATAGATCGTGCGAATAAAATTCGTCCAGTTATTTTTGTAAAATAAGCATTCGAAGTTTTATTTTTAATGCTCGAACATGTTCCACATTGTGTACACATGCTCAATAGACATGGTTATGAGCCGGATCCATTGGCAAACTAAGCTGTGCTAAGCTAAGCTATGCTGCACTATGCTAAGTTTACACATGTTTGCCGTAGTACGCGTACCATTTTCACCAAAAATCAAACGAATATAAACTTAGCATAGCATAGGATAATTTAGCTTATCTTGCCAGTGGTTCCAGGCCTGTAACTGTAAATTTCGTTAGATTTTTACAAAGACTTTACGATGTCCCTTATTACTAGACTGCGGATTTTATTCATTTATAAAAAGATTGAATAACCAAACAAAGTACACTTTAATCTAATTTTTATTTTATGCAATCGACGAACAAATTTTTTATTTAGCATCAAGATCCACGGTTTACTTGTTACATTCTCTTCCAAATTACCAACATTCGCTCGTATGTTTCTAAATTACATACGATTTCGCCAGCTCGATTGCGAACTGTATCGTGGGAACTTCATCTTAGCCGATTGAACATTTGTGAAGACAAAGACAAGTGAAGATTAGTGACAGATAGAATCGGAAGCTGGCAAAAACTGAGACATAATAGTCATGCCCCAGATAGTGGAAGGAGGGGGACCACAATGCACATAGACGTCGTCCACAGACGGAAGCATTCCCGTAGCATCTAAAACACACCTTACTAATCGTACACAAAAAAGTCATAAATGTACGTACACAAAATAGATTTACCAACAAAATAATGATTTGTAGTCGTATCGATGCCGTGACTGTGCAAAAAACGTTCAATGAGAGATCCTCTAGTGTTTAAAACGGGCGTCACGTTCTCATATCTATATTCGTAATTAACAAATCAAAAACGTAACGGACGCATCGTACGCATGAAAAGTGAAAACCATTTCCATCGTTTCGGTTCCAAAGCGACAATCGTTTACGGGAAAACTGAAACGCGGATACGCTTTGCCGTTTCAAAATCCGTTTACCTGAAACTTAACGTAAGAAAAACACTTTGTTTTTAGGGTGCTCTGTATGTATAATAATCTGCGCCAAAATATGTGATTCTTACGGATGTCTCTATTCATCTAGATCGATACTCCAATTGAAATGTATAATACACTGTTAATTGATACCACGATGGGTCGATTGGCATTTTTACAACGCAATAAAGAGAAAGAGAGGCAACTCGTTAACGCCTATTTGTGACAATTAATCGAACGTCTAACGAAAATGATGTTACGGTCGTAGTCGCTAGTGAAATTGGCCGTTCCTTTACAACGTGCTTTCCTCCTTTCTCGGAGCGAATGTAACAAACGAAACGAAAAATAGAAAAAGAAAAGTAGGAACAGGTGTAGTTACGCTACGTCATTCAAAATAAGAAAGTGTTGTCAGGTGAATCGTACTATGTGTTATGATGTTGCATAGCAGTTATGGAGCAGTAATGTGAAACGATGTAAGAGAGAAAGAAAAGAGAGAAACGACAACACTTAACAGCAACTGGAACAACGTATTCGCAGAATGAACGAGCGATGTAATATATGTATATATATTTATGTAGACGTGTATACACAGAAATATGCGCATATAAATATACGACACGTAGCATGTATAATATATTTATAGCCTACGTTATGAAAAATACGTAATATAAATTATACGTTGTATAATATACAGTAGAACTTCATTTATCTGATCTCCATTTATTTGAACTCCATTTATCTGTGTGAACTCTATTTATTTGAACTTCATTTATGCGAACGACATTATCGTCAATGCCCAATTTTGCAAACCCTTTCTGGGAATCTATTGTATTTATCTGAAGGTGAATTCTAGTTACTCGAACGCAAAGTTACAAGTAGTTTGGCCTCCTGTTGTATGAACTACCTAGTTGCATAAACTGCTTGCCTTCCGGCGAATTCACAAAAAGGAGGTTTCACCGCATATACATGAAATAAATATAAATATACATATATATGTTACATTCGATATATCAATATATATATACACATATGTACGTATATACACGGCAATGAGAACGATCTGTACAAGGCGAACATGATCTCTATGAGCCCAACAAGGGTCTAAAGTAAAGAGAGAAAGAGTTACCTGGATGGAGGCATTCAAAGAGCGAGGGTCAAAAAAGGGTTTCATAATACAGAATATATTACAAGGTTAGCGTTTTTGTTGATTTCTTTCAAGAAGAGTATAAAGAGATCAAAATGGTTTCAGGTAACTATATATATTCGGCCTAGCTAGGAGGGTCGAAAGGGCAGCAAACGTGTTAATTCGTACATGTCTAATGCTAATAACTCACGCTTGAGCCACCTCGAATCCACTTGCAAGATCGCTACGCTACTCTGTCAACGCGGCAACAACGTTATCGATCCGAATTGACAATTTCCATCGCGGGGTAACCGAGCAATGAAACGCTATCTCGACTTGTACAACGTACAAGAGAATTTCGGGCGGTCGAATGATGCATCAGTTTCGGCGCCATCACTTCGATAGACTCGACGTGGCTCCGGCATCGCAATTACGTAAAAACGAAACTCAATAGCGAAATCGAAGGAAAACGTATCTTCAATATAGCAAGGATCAAAAACTCGGAATCAAGTCCAGTATAGAATCCGTATAATAATAAACAATGGTAAAAAAGAATGATCAGAAATAAAGGGGGATGTTCGTGTAGACGCGGACGCACAGCCGTTCTCTGTGCGTGGGCACGCGTGTACACAACATCTCTCAACGTCAGTCCAATTAAAAAATGTGTATCAGTTTGCTTTCAGCACTACGCCCTCCTGGCGGATGTCACGTACCTGGTAGCTGAATTGTCTCACAACCTTGTACAATCTGTTCGCCTCCTCAGCAAAATACTCAGCTTGGGTGAACAGGTCTTGGGTGGTGTTCAGGGCGCCCTCGCCCCTCGTGAACTGGTACATCGAGAACGCCATCGAGGACATGTTCTTCGCCCGCTTCACGATGTCGTTGTTCTCCTCCAAGGCGCTGCCGCTCTCCTGCCATTTCTCCGTCTCCGCGTCCATCTCCGAGGTGATCAGCTTCATCTCGAGCCCGGCCTTCGCGATCTTCGCCTGCTCCTCGCTGTCCAGTCGAGCTGGCTTCAGCGGCTTGCTTGTCGTGCCGTGTTTCTGCAAATGCCGGAACAGTCTTTATTGCCCGGTTCGAGCGAGTGAACAAACATATTTTCGTTTCAAGGTCTCGTCGTTCTTATGAATTTTTGTTCATGCAATAAGAGGACATGTGTCGAGGATCGATGGTATGCCGAAGACAATTCATCGACCAGAACTTCGGATATCGTGCGAACTGTTTCGTAAAATTAGGCTCATAGTGACCTCGTTATTTTTACGAAGTGAAACAAATCTTTGAAAGAGTTTTGAAGGATTACGAGCAAAACTACCGCTGGAAGTTTAGACGAGTGATTCTGAAAAAGAACTTGACGAGAAATTCACAACGCGAGATTGACGATGCTCGTTGCTGCAACGTAATCACTTCCACATGAAACAGAAGAATGTATTTCTCCGTTTCGCTTTCATCGACGACCTCGTCATTTATCACAACACCCACATATCCTGCAAGCATCGATGAGAACAAAGCGTAGAAATGTTACACATTCTATTGTTTTAGAATGGAGGTGTATACGTTCGAGCAGCAAGCAGAGCAACGCGTACACATTGCTCGACATACCAAACCATGTAGAAGAGTAGCAACAATTGATAAACTGCGGATCTGTATTCAGAATAAAAATGATCGATAGCAATTACGTAAAACAGGAGTTATGTAAAACTGTATTCATTCCTTGTAATATTTCTAACGACTTGAAAACAGTGTAACAATGTTTCTCGATCTCTGCGATCATTCTACACTATCCTGTATATTTCTTTTATCAATTTTTGCTATAAACGCATAAAATCCGCAGTCTAATAATTATTAGCAGTACAGATTGTTCACGCTAACATCAGCCAGCGTTTTCCTTGCAGACAGTAAATATTAGAAAACAAAATGAAACAGATAAAATTACACTGTTGTTTGTTAGCGATGTTAGATAACGTGTGTCACGTTTTTTCAACTGCATTATCTGCATTATCTCACCTTGAGTTTTTGAATGGAATGCTATGAATTTAATTTCTAAAGAAAGTAATGCAGATCTAAACAGATGTAAGAAATCTAAGTAAGATCTTACATTAATTGCAAAAATCAGTATAACTTTTTTCTCTTTCATTTTGTTACAATTCTTACCATTTGCAAAGAAATCACAGGGCAGTGTCAGCGTGAACATCCTATAGAGTAATACTTCTACGGTACCATTCTGAAATTATACTATTGGCACAGCTCCATTGTGAACGAAGGAAAGAAAGAAACTTCACGCAGCTTTCATCGCGGCTCTGATCGATGGTTTTGTAGCTTCTGTCGCAGAGGTCTAATGTAAACGTATATACTATTGGTGTACTAAGGATCTAAGACTCGAGACGGATTGATCACGTGGTCGCTACTGCGATTCGATGGCCTTAACGGTGACTAGGAAATAGAGTTCGGGATTGTATGCAAAGCGGTCGTATCTACTGATAAGAGGTTGCATGCACTTAATGCGCTTTGGTACGGAGTTGCAGACTAAATATAATAATGATGTTGGGCAGAACAGATTCGTGATTGAACTGTGGATTTACATGCAAAATAAAAATTGTCTGCACCAATTGCAAGATACACAGCAGCTACATAGACATTTGTTTCGTTTCTTAATAATTTTAATGAGTTGAAAATAATGCAACGATATTTTCAAATTCAATTTAATGTTTCCAACGTCTGCATATATGCATCAATAAAATATATCTTTTAGAAACGATTTTGGCTATTAAGGAAATGGAACGATTACAATTTTATATACAGCAATAAAACTGTTTAGCGACATAGAACGATAAAAATAAAAAATGTTTGTGGCGATAGCGCGCGTAACTCTTATTCCTATTTTATATTTAAAAGGATTTGCATTCAGCCGACATTTTTTGTGAGTTTCCACGGCGAAGAGGGAAATGTTTCACTGGTTCTTAAAGAACACGAGCTTCTGATAGAATGGACTCATTTATTTCCTATGCTGTTCAACCTTAATGGCCGTCGTTTACCTTGATTACATACGACCCGAGTTGTCCTTAATTTATAATGCTTAACTAGGATAGAATTACCAACCCCAGTAATTGCAGGTAATTCCTTGTTCTCTAATGGTTACTTAACTCTTGTTATTTCGACTTAAATGAACGCGTTTCATAATTTGCGTTTCCATGAAGGAAAACAGATAATTGTTCTCCGCAATTTTCTAGAGGTACGTTCTTTGTTCAGTATATTTCTTTTATATGTTGCACAAGTTTAATGTTATAATAGTTTTCTTGACTGTAGACAGTTTACAATTTCCATATTAATATGTGCTTGGATGAATAAATTTAATTACTTGTCTCCGGTGAAAGTGATTTTATAATTTCAGTAATTGTGTAATAAAAATTGTGCCAAAAATATTTAATTTTGAAAGGGAAACGAAAATGGCGAGGAGTGTTTAATTATTTAATTTGTGTTTATATAGAAGGAGTGATGCGAGCAGTACATTAGTGCGACTGTTGAACGTGAAACGTTTTAGCAATTATACATATATTAAATCTTTTTACTAATTCTGATTAAATCATGCACTAAATGTGAAGATACAAACAAGTGTAAAAGTGCACTTACTCCTGGTCGTGGCAAGGACATGTATACTTGCTTCTCTGGACGATTTTGGTGCAATTCGAGCACATCTTTTGCGACTGATGTCACATCGTTCATCAGCCACTGCCACATATCGGCGAATACTGAAACACACGATGCGTAACTTATCAATATCACAAAAGTCAGATAACTGATTATGTTAAAAAGTCACTTGAAACTCTTGAAACTTTATTAAGGGTATCGATGTACTTTTATTAAATGTTGTAAATTGTACAAAATGTAAATAATGTTAAAATAATTTTCAAGAATTGTTACATCTCGATTTTATTCATTTTTGTTGATTTTGAATGTTAAAAATGACAATCAAATGATTAAGATAT